TTTTTTATAAATGTTATTTTCTTCTTTAATTTAAAAAAAAGTAATTTTTTTTATTATGTACTTACAAAAATACGTATCTTTTTATAATAAAAATTTATCTCTTATACATTAACGAATAGTTATATCTTTTTATAATAGAGTGTTGTATACATTTTTAATTTTATACGACATATATAAATTTAGATAGTATAAATATGAGACAATAATAACGCAATTAAATAAGTTCGGATTGAATTTAAATAAATAATGAGTTAGATGTTTGACTATTTTTTTAATATTTTGGGAGCAATTAATTCCACTTAAAATTGAAAGGAAAAATAAATAATTTATTATTATAATTAAAATTTTCAATCAAATTTGATGTTGACTTTATAACTTTTGGTAATATTGATTTAATAATTACTGTAAACAGTAAAATTGACTAAATAATCACAATACACATGTGTTGGGTTATGACCACAATAATATACATTTAAGTTATAATGATTTTGGTAATTGTAATCATATTAATTGTTAAAATTTTTGTTTATATTTAATTAATCTGAATTTTCTAATTTTTCCCTTAATTAACTCCCGTAGTACAGTGTCATTAAAGTTTTCCAAAGGGAAAATTGCAAATATGACCCTTACCTTTTGACTATTTTTAATTTATTGTTTAATATTTTAAGTTTTTTCAATTAAGTCCTCCAATTTTTTTTTTTTTTTTGTTTTTATTCTTTCTAAAATATTCTCATCAATTAACATATTTGTTAAAGTAAACAGGCTTTTTCGCATTGCCATTATCGTAATGATTTGAGATAAAATTAAATCAAATATATTTACATTATTTAGATTGAAAGGTATATAAAGCATAGTTTAAAATATAAGAATTTTGATTTGAATTTTTTTAAGTTTGAGTAAGATTTTAAATCAAACAAACATATATTATGTTATGTGAGAGTTTCGAATATATATTTTTTAATAAATAAATTACTTTTATGCTATTTAAATTATTTGATATTAATATTTTAATGTTTAAACAAAAAATAAATATAAATTCCTGTTGGAACTAATTCATTTCAAACATAATCAAATTATACTTTTGGTAATATATATATGTATATAGAGACTGAAGAGTATACATTTTCAATTACTATATATGAAGAATTTGTAATTAAAAAGTGAATTAGTACCTTAACAATGCCATACACAGTACAAATTATGTTCACGTATATAATTAAATTAGTAAGTGTTATTATGTTTTATATGAAATTAAAAATTAAAAAATCACTGTTTTATATATAATTAAATTTCAGTCATACTTCCATCCCATCTATTTTTTTTTTTCAAAAAAAAAAAACATAGGTTATAATGAAAAATTAACAAACTATTAATTATAGATGAATTTATATTAATGTTACTATAAATAATACCAAATGAAAACAAAGGGGAAAAGTAATAATAGTTCATTGACGCCCACAATGCCATCATAATTTATTCCCCCTTTTATCATTTCATTATAAGTTATTTATTTATTTATTATTATTATTATATTATTAAAGAAAAACATGCTTTAAGTTTGTCATAAGTCTCGTGCTATTTAACAGTTTATTGTAACTCAATACATCTCACAATCAATTATTATTATTTAACAAAAAAAAAAATTAACGTGACAATAATCTATTTTATTATTTATATAATATATTTGACATTATATATATATTAAAATAATAACGAGATATTGTAAATTTTAATAATAGAATATGGGATTTTTATGCATTATAATTATTTTATAGTAATTAATATAATTAAGAAAAATAAAAAAGGGCCCACCTACAATTTTGGTAGAGTTAATGAGATTTTGTAGGACAAAAAGATTTGGTACAGTTAGGACCATCCCTAATTTTATGTATGAAAAAAAAAAATTAAATTAATTGAATATTGATGATGGTATTATAATGCACGTGATGATAATTGCGGGGAGGGGGTGGGGGGACTGGGAGGAGCGTCTTCACGTGTGAAACCCTGCCCCACTCCACTCTGCTTTCATGAACAACAAAGACGCTCCTCCTCTATCTACTTCCCAAAGTTGGCCTCCCTCCCACATTGTATTATCATATTATTATTATAATTATACTTATTAATATGACACTATTTTTTTAATTACTCGGTATTGAATAAAAATATATGTAACGAAATATATTATATGTTAATATTTATATTTTCTATACTATACTTTTGTTGACCTTGGATAGCATGATATATTCATTTCATACTACACATTTTGTTTGGACTTGGACTCCTTCTTTATATTAGATTATATATTATATACATGGGCGTGTAATGTGTAACAGTTTGGTGGGTGTGGGTATGCTCGGGTCCGAGTGCAAAGACTGAAGCTTTGAATAAATTTGGAAACCCGAGATGGTCAACCGGTTTGACTGGGATACGATCTGGTGTCTTTGCTTGCCAAAATTGCAGACTGGGTGGGGAAAATCATGGTTTCCTAAATGATATTGGATTTGGATGGCATCAAATTTGATGTTTGCCTCTGAACATACCCATATAAAGAAGATTTAATTAATTAAACTTATTTTATTATAACTTAAATTAATTCCTGTAACTTGGCACAAATGCTCTGTAGTACGCGTAACTGATGAAAGACGGAGAGATCTGAAAGGGATAAGTGGCTGCGCCATCCGACCCACCAAGAAGTCAGTTCACAATTTTTTAACTGATATTACCAGTAGTTTCTTGAAGATTCTGAAATAAATACAAATTCACCTGTGTGTATGTATGTATATGTCAGAATGAATATACATATATATATATATATGTGTGTGTGAATGATTGTGTTGTAGTCTTCGGGCAGTACCGGGCTCCTGAATGGGCATGCTAAGAAAGTAGAAAATAATTAATAGGAAGACAAGTAAGGAAGGTTAATTTGAGGAAAGGCTTCGATGGGGAGACTGGTGTGTCAAATTGGTGAGGGGACTGACACGGTGTGTTTTCGAAATTATAGGTAGCAGAGGCTTATTACTCCTGCTTACTCGACCGCCTTCACTCTTCCATTAATATATATTATGTTCTTTCAGACTGAGCTGTGGAATGCGATAGATGGATTCGCTTTAGTATGAAATTTTAAGATCGCAATATAGTTCTAGAGACGGATAATACTCTTGCTGTTCAGACCTTAAATAAAATTATTACTAATGAAATAATTTACATTAATATTAATTTTAATTATATTTTAACGATCAAATTTTAACTTATAAAAAATTTAATTATCAAAATACAACATATCAACCCTAAAAAAAATTAATGTGCTGATTATTTGATAAATCATACTTTTTGTCGATTTTCTAAAAATTATCACTTACAGCACTTCTCTTTCTCTAATATATGTGTACTGCCTGAGAGTGATTTTTATTATATGTTATTGTTTATTCCTTATATATATAAAAAAAAAATATATATATATATATACATATATTAGCTTGCGAGGAGAAGTATAATGCAGTTGACAATGGCGATGATAGTTTTAAATTAGTTAAATAAATTTATCACCAATTTAAATTTTATTAAAAAATATAATTTATTATTTTCTAAAAGTGTTATAAATTAATTATAATAAATATAAATATTAATTTATTAATATGTTAGTAAAATTATTATAATTAAATTAATTTAATTTTTAATGAGTTTCTCACATTTTTAAACAAATAAAATATTATGTGTTAATTATATTATCTTATTTAGATAATTATACGCAGTTAAAAACTTTTTTTACCGCCAAAAAAAAAAAAAAAGGCAAAGGCAAACAGCTGGAATGTAATAATGTCTCGCTCTATATTTTTTTGGTACTTGAAGCCGCAAAGAAATTTAAGAAAAGTATTTAGAGTCAACTTGATTATTTTATGTATTTGAGTTTGAATTTTGCTGAATATATTATTTTTTAACAATAAAAGTATTACATAAAATAATATGTGTAAATTTTATGTTAATTCTTATAAAAAGTTAAAATAATAGTCACATATGTTACCATGTAATAATTATGTCACTGTAAAATAATAATAAAAAATGAGCAATGGTGAAAATGATTTTACTTTTAAGTAAATAAAAAAAAATAAAATTTTCACTTGATATGGTAAAAGTACAACAATAGTAAAAATTATTGATAGTTGTATATGTGAAAATAGTATGTAAATAAATAATTAAATATGACAATTTAATTTAAATTAGGAAAATATACCCATCTTGTCAACAACAAGGTGTCGTGGTGTAGTTGGTTATCACGTCAGTCTAACACACTGAAGGTCTCCGGTTCGAGTCCGGGCGACGCCATCTTTTATTTTAAATTTTATTCTTCTACTGGGCCACATAAAGAAATGTTTTTTGGTTAACAGGACATGGTTCCTAACTTTTGGGCCGAAGCGAATAATAAATTTATTTTTGGGCTAGAAATGGAAATCGCATTTGGGTCTTATTGGACCAGAAAAGTAAATATTGAATTTCTTTTCAGGGTTGCTTTCGCTCTGTTATGCTATGCGCAATCTCGTTATACGGTTTCGGCTAACTTGAAGTACCACATTCGATTGTCGTTGAAGTAACGCGCGACAGTATGCAACAATGAGGTTGAATTACGAGCGATTATCTTCACTTGCAACCACCGCTCTATAAATTTTTTGCGTATCCACTTCAACTATATATGATCTTTAGAAATTTTCTGATCCCATTGACAACCTCATAGCTCAGCCAAGTATAGTGACCTTATAACTCGCGAATCGCTTCAAAAACATAAATAGTACCCTGACCTACGAATTTTTTATAATCGTTCCGAATTTACATTATGCAAATGTGCTATAAATTTTTTTAAAATTTCTTATGTCGAATTAAATCTTAAACTATATTATGTAAGTGATTTTAAGATTATATTTAGTAAAAAAAAAAAAATTCAATGGAACTAAAACATTGTACTCCAAATAAATTTAAATGTTTGAAAATTTTATGCTTAATAATTATATATGAGGTTAATTTTAATTTACTTTTAAAAAATATTTTATGATTGATTAATTGAATTAAGTATGTATATATAAATGGTTCCCAAAATAAATTCATTTTTTGACCTAGCCCAAATTATCAATTTAATGTAACGCAATCAAATATGTTTGTAACAAATTGAGATTTAATTCGCCTCATAATTTATCCCTCAACACTAACCCACTCAAGCGTCATATGCTTTGTACCGAGCAGTTAGAAGATTTTTCCTTTTACTGACACGTGTACGCCAACAGATAATTCCCACGTGCATTTATAATTCAACGCGTGTCTTTTGTTGATATCCCAATTCCCAACGAATCACGATGTCACCAAACTACATTTAAAAAATAAATAAATAAATTACATAAATTTAATTAAGTAAAAATAAAATAACTTTTCGTATATTAACAATATAGTTTTTAAATATAAAAATTCTTTGGCTAAAGAACTTAAAAAAGTGATTTCTGAAATAATAAATTGAATTGAAATAAAATATTAGTCTTAAAATTATATCTTGTAGAAATTTTATAATATATACTCATAATTTATAAATAAATTTTTTCTTTGATTTTAATTGAAGTTTTTTATAGAAACAATAATTTAACAAGCTTTTTTTATATAATAATTATTAATTAAGGATAATATTTATTAGCCACCGAATTTTAGGCAGACAAAAACTGACACACATCCAAAACTGCCAGATAAATATTAGCTGTCTACACCACAATTTTTTTTTTTCCCCGTTATTTCCTTTACCAGTATGGCAGTGTGAAAAAAAAAAAGAAGGAAATTAACATTATCCACGTGTAAATTTCACCGTGGCACGACAATTAAAAAATAAATTAAAAAATTAAGACTGAGTGAGGAGGAGCTGACGTGGGACGGATAACGATCGTCGAAGTGAAGGCTGGGAAAACATAATAAAACGCGGGAAAGCGCGTGAGTCGATGATGACAACGATGATCCGACGTGTACATGAATCAGCGGAAAGAAGGATAAATCTCGTACGCTCGTTTTGATTATCTGGATCGTCATCATATGACGACTGACAGATCGGCGGTGTAAATTTCGTTTCTATTTTATTAAATTATTGTTAAAATTTCCATTCTACATATAAAAAAAAAACGAATTTTTGTTTTTTAAAGTTTTAAAAATCGCAACAACATATAAAAGGAGGAGTTCTGCAATTCTCTTTCTCCTACAAATCTCCCACAACGTGAAGCTTGCTTGCACCAGAAATTGCAGTCGATATTTTTTTGTGTTTGGATAATTATTGTTTTCCGGATATCGAATATCGTCTTTAAAATCGCGAGGGAGCAAGCAAGCAAGGAAGCGAGCCGACAGTATTTAGTGGATTGATTGATTGATTGATTTAAGGAGGAGGTGATTCTCGCGATTTTGCTCTCGATCTGCTGCGCATTAGGAGCTCAAATAAGAGAACAGGTATCTCTTAGCGAGATTTAAGTCTCTCTCTAATGATGTTATTCGTTTGATTTTTAATGCTTTTTGGTGTTTTCCTGCTATAATCTTGATGATTCTCTATGGCCAAAATGATTTTCTTTTTTTTGTTTGGTTGTTAAATTTCTGAGTTGTTTGAGGTGATGGAGGTGACGGTGATGTTGTTGAAAATATCTGGACGGCTACTTTTTTCTTGCGTACGCGAATTGTCAAATTGCGGATACTTCCAAAAACTAATTATGGTTAAAAATTCTCGGATTGAAAAAGAAATATCTGAAATTAACTCTAAATTATTGCACATGTGGGGGAAAAAGGCAATTGAAATGACTATATAAGATGGATGGATTTCATTTGAGGCGGCACATTTCTAGTGGCATTTGCTCTGTTCTATTGTCGATTAGTTCCCAAGTTCGATACATCTCTATAGCCTGCGTCTCTAATAATCTACACTTCTCCAATCTCTGGATTGTGTTTTTTTTTTCCCCTTCTTCGTCTCTTTTGGCAACTCGATCTAATATTGGTAAGTGGAAGAAGATAAAGCTGAAAATTTCGTTCTGGGTAGCTTAATTAATGCCTTTAATGAAGGCTGATCGTTGTTGGATAAGATTTGTTGTTTCAAACTAAAAGTTCGATAAGAATTTAATAACTATATGAAAGCTGGTCGTTGTTGGATAGAATTTGTTGTTTCAAACTAAAAGTTCGATGATAATTTAATAAGTATTACGAAGGTTTTCCTCCCCGTCAAAAATTGCTTTTCACAAATCTGATCTGGTTGCAATGCGAATCTGATCTGTTTTGTATGTAAATGGCAAATGTGCTTTATTTAGAAGTTGTATTCGCATCCTGTCCATTAATCTATGTTCAATATGAAATTAACGCCGATTTAGAACGGATTCTGATTTCATGCCTTCTTATAAAACAGAAAATTTATGCTTGCTTTTTCTTCTTTTTCTTTTTTTCAGAAAGAAAGCTGAGAAACTGGTGCTATAAAGATGGAGAATTTTTGTGAACAATCTTCCCAACCTGTCAAGAATTCACCTCCTTTGCCTCCTCCATCACCTATTAGATCAAAAGTTGATGTTCATAAAAAGGGGCTGATCATCAATCCATCAGATCGAAGAGGACATAGCTCTGCCTCCACTGCCACACAAGATTTATGTGAGCGCCTCTTCAATGAAGGATACAGAGCAGATGTCACTATTAATACTGATAATGGTGGCGTCATCTATGCACATGCTAATATCATTGTACGTTATTGTACCTCTTTTTATGATAGTTAGAAATCTACTTCATTTGATTGGTGGGGTTTATGTTCAAAAAACTGGATTATGACCCCCAAACTGGTGAAAAGTCATGTAAATTAAGCAAGGAAAAACTTGGTCATAAAACATTGGTGTTTTTGCACCACTTTATTATCCACCTGATTATGATCGTATTGCTGACTTAAACATGATACTGTAACTAATGCGAGATCTTGTCTGTTATGCACACACACACACACACAACCTCTTTTGCTGAAGGCATCTCATTTACTTCTCTGATTAGTTCCTCTACTTTTTTGCCCTATCTAGGAGGTTGAGTCATTAAATGTAGAAATTATGGTATTTATTTGGCAAATCCACATGTTATGTTGAGCAAAATAATCATATTCTGTGTTAATCTGGATTTTGCCTGACAGGGAACGGCTTCTCTTGTAATTAAAGGCATGTTAAAGCAAACAAATAGATTAGGTCGCTGGCGATCAATTTCAATCCGTGGCGTTCCAGAAGATGCAGTTCGAGCTTTCATTCGGTTCTTATACTCTTCCTGGTAAAACTTTAACCTATGTGGCTGTTATTTGTGAACAATCTTTCCAGTTTTGGCATTAAGTGTTCATGTCAGCTTCAAATTGAGAGCTAATCTTTTTCTGGTCCATCTTTTCTAGTTATGAGAAGGAAGACATGGAGGAATTTGTGACATCTCTGCTGGTTCTTTCGCATGTGTACGTAGTTCCTCAACTGAAACGAATCTGCGAATGGCACCTAGAGCATGGTTTGCTTACCACAGAGAATGTAGTTGATATTTTCCAACTTGCATTGCTCTGTGATGCTCCCAGACTTGGCATCATTTGTCATCGTATGATCCTAAAGAACTTCAGGGATGTTTCTGCAACCGAAGGTTGGAAAGTGATGAAGAAGAGCCATCCAGTGCTTGAGAAAGAACTTTTGAAGTCTATGATTGATGAAGAAAAGGTAAGCTTTTTCCCATTTCACTCTAAGTAGCTCTTCTTTAATGATTTCCCCTCCTGCACCCCCCTTACAGATTCTGATACGGAGTTTGATTGAATGTATTTTTAGATGCAAAAAGAGAGGATCAGAAAACTGAATGAAAGAAAAATGTATTTGCAGTTGTACGATGCAATGGAAGCTCTTGTCCATATATGCAGAGATGGGTGTAAGACAATAGGACCACATGATAAGGATTTTAAACTGGATCAGGCACCTTGTAAGCACGCAGCCTGCAAGGGACTGGAATTGCTTATACGCCATTTTGCTGGCTGCAAGTTGAGAGTTCCCGGCGGTTGTGTTCATTGCAAGAGAATGTGGCAACTCCTGGAGCTACACTCTCGTCTTTGTGCCGATTCAGATCTCTGCAGAGTTCCTCTGTGCAGGTGAGCCGATTTATGATTTTTCTCCCGAACTTTACCTTGAAGAATTATTAGATATTTCTTATTTCTTAATAAATATTTGAAACGAATCAATACATCTTTTGGGTCTTATAATTTATTTGTGTTCTCGAAAGACTTGATAATTACTAAAAACGGCTGGATTTAACCATTTCAGGAATTTCAAGGAGAGGGTTAAAAAACAGAGCAAGAAAGATGAAATTAAGTGGAAAATTCTTGTAAAAAAGATTCTGAGAGCAAAGGGAATAGGTGGGTCGCCATTCTTTTCATTGGCAAGCTCCATCTCTCTGTGATAGTGAAGGCCTGAATCTCTTAGACCAGCTTCAATGTAGATTTTCTTGTAAATTGCCTTTTCTATAAGAGAAGAAAAATGGCAGTTTGATTGACTGTATTCTTTGTACTTACATTATGCCAAATCATGAATGAAGAGAATCCAAATCACCTTATTTCTAAGTGAATGGAATCCAACATTGACCCACGTTTGGTTTGATCACCCTGTTCAATTTTCATATGAGACAAAATATCTTCTCCAGATATTTGTAACGAAACACTATACATCGAGTTGTTTTTGTCGATTGCTAATTGTTTTTGCTGGATCCACGATTGGCGATTCAGCACCGGTAACGTGGCGCCGTTTGCAGACAAATTAGTCGCTGTCGTCAACCAGGAAATTCATCAGCTGACAAACATCGTAAGACGTTTAAGAATATGATGTTAATAACAAGTTCAGAAAAATGACAGAGATTTATATACATATATATATATATAATGTTTCAAATATTTATTTTTATGTTAATTATTTTCAGTTCTAAATGTTTGTGATACTTTTCTCAAACTTAACTTCAACCAACTCTTGTAAGTTATGAAATCAGTCTTGTAATTTTTTTTTTTTTTATATTTTCAATAATATAAATTAATTTTGTTTTAGTTTTCAATTTATATTTACATTTAGTAATACAATATAAGAAATTTATGTTCATATTATAGTAAATTGTCATAAAAAATACAAAAAGAAAATAGAGATAAAAAATAATTAACCGGAACAACAGAGAAAATAGATTATATAAATAGTTTAATTACCTTTATTATTTTCTAATAAAGGTGTTAAAAAATTAATCAAAATTAGGGATGTATATTTTCTGAGTTTAGTTTGTATTTAAATAAACTAGTTTAGATCGAAAATATAAAAAATAAAAAAAAAAATTATTTTAGTTTTATTTTTTATTAATTGTTAATGAGCAGATTAAAAATAAATTCAGTAAATTTCGGTTCGATCTTTGGTCCAATTATAACTTAATGAATACTTCTGGTCGCAACCAAACTTGACTAAATAAACCAGATAGGACTAGACTACACAGTTCGTTTTGGTCTTCTATGCCCTCCAGATTACCCAGCTTAGCTCAGCCCACATCCCTAACAAAACCCACAACCCCAAATGCTAAATCGGCTAACCCACCCTACTCTCATACCCAGTTACTCATTCATGTCTTCGTTGTCGACTTCGAGATGCAGAGCCTCAGAGTTGAGTGAATCTTAAATCTTTGCCTGTCCATCGTATGTATTGTTCTAAAACTTTAAAGCCATTGTCGAAAACGAGTGAAAAAGAAAATATTAAGACTTCAATGAAGGTATTTTGATTAAGAAACAAAAGTGAGCAGTCGATGCTAGTTTGCGATAATGCCGTGTCGTTTTCAGCTTGAAACGCGGCTCGTTTTACTCAAAAAAACGCAATAGTTTTCCTGTTTTCTTCTGTGCAGTCCCACACTAACCGTGCGCAAACGGTAATGGCGGAATGGAGATGACGGAAGCACATCCTTCTTGTCTTTCTCGGGTATGGTTTTAACAATGGCATTTTATCAATCATTTGCTGCTCATAAGATCGATGGAATAGTATTTTATATACAGGGTAGGTTCAGTCTGGCAAGGCCATATCCACTGTGGATATTCAGCATTTTGTGCTGTAATTGTTTATTGTTGGATTTAATTTCTTCTTCTTCTTCTTCTTGTCTTAGCGTACATTAGGTTCACGGGCATTTATTTGTAGACCAACTTGCAGCAACCTTCTAGTGTTTGATGAACATGCTTCAACGTCATAATGTTAATGTCTTGTTTTCTGTTTTGCCTACAATAAACAAACATTACATTTATTGACTTCATAAATACCCACAACCAAAAATTATAGGAACCTACCACAGAAAACCATCTGGAAGTGGGAAAAAAGAAAGCATCAAGCTTTAGATAGATAGCTGGAGGAAAATCCTCAAAAGCTTCTAGTCTTTTATTAGTAAATGATAAAATAATTGCAGATGTCTCAACTTCATAAATACCATCAAAACATGTATAAGACTATATGATCTAAACGAGGAAACCTACTCTAATGCATATGTTGGAGCAGACCCAAAAGAATAAAGTATATTTTTTCCCTCCGATTTTTTGAGAAAGAATTACACCGAGGAAACATTGTTTATACCTGCCAAAATTTCCCCATCTTTCAACAACAATATCTTTCATTGTCCTTGTCTATTCTTGGTAAACAAATTCTGTCTTCTTATTGTATGTGAACAGTATGTGTCTGCAATTCTCATGAGCTTTTCTTTCAGGAAGAAGCTGGAACTTGTTCATAAAATGTCTGTCTTCCCGTGTAAATTTGGACTTTCTTCATAAAACGAAGACTTCTTACGTGGGTTTCGTTGCTTCTTCATCATCTTACTCCTTGATGTACTTGTAACATAAAAACAAATAAAAAAACTCTGCTGTTGCTTCAATTGAAAATGAGCGTATCTATAAACCATGGGAGTACGGGTGATAGGATGTCTTCCAAGCAATGCATCATATTCACATAATTTCAAGGTGATGAGCTTTCCTCGTCTGAACTTCTATCTTGTCTCACATTATACCTGTTGAGAACTGGCAAGGGAGCATTGGCAGATATTCTGAAGGATCTTGCAGAACCAACCATTGTTCTTTCCTGCATCCTGCCCACTTCCTTGCAGACATGATCCAGCACGGAGAGGAAATCTCTAACAATCATGAAAATTCTGAAAGGATGGGCTTCCTCCTTTGCTGCATCCCCATGAAAATATTCAGTAACCTCTTTCACAAGCAACAAAGCCTTTCTTTCATCAGACTTGATCTTAGCAATATCTTCTTCAGCCTCTTTGAGAAATATCTTCATTGAATTGAAGAATTTCCCTGACATACCTGGCTTCTCAAATTGCAAAACTTGTCGTACTTTCTCAAGGCCCATTTCAAGCTTTGATACGTAACTGCTCAAGACATCCGAGTCCATCCCTGCTGCCTTTTTCACATTGCTTAGGTCCCTGCTCAACCCAGCCACAACCTGCAATCCTTGCTTCCTGAAATCATCCTCTTTCATGCTGGACTGTGTTTTATTCTCAAGGTTCTCATTTGTAGAGTCAGTACCTGCACCTTCAGATCTAATAATTTCCTGGACAACAAAGTGGAGCAGTGTTGTCTTCCCATCCGTTCCTTTTACATCTACAAGTTTCAGGAGTGTATCAAGCTTAAAAGCTTTGGCATCACCACGATTGGTGCCAACATTCATCCGGTTTCCTGTCCTGAGAACAGCTTCAAGGAGTTTGAGGAACAGCCTGCTGTTCTTCAGTTCCTCGCTTGCTTCCTAAGAAATAGGACATAAAAGGAATAAGCTTGGCAAGTTAGCTGAAAAAAGTTAAACTTCATCTACGATGAAATTTTAGGCAGCATACCTCCAGGGTTTGAAAAGACTTTCTGAGGTATTTAACTTCTGTATCAAAGTTGGCCCTGTATAGCATTGCTTCTACTCTTCTAAAAGCAAATGGGATATCAAGAACTGTCTTGAGGAAACGTTCTGCAGATCCTAGTTTTGAGATATCACCACTGTACTCCCGAAGTTTTATTTCTTCCTCTTTTGTGGGAGCCATCTTCACGAGTGTTTCCAAAAGTTCAGCACCCAAACTATCTGGATTACCTGTTGCAAGGAAATGGACATTGCTGTTTATGAAACATAGATGAAGAATCTGGATCTGCAGTATTTACCATGATAACAATTTCACTTTTTTGGAGGGATGGGGGGAAGGAGTAACATTAACTCTCAAACAAACTCTTCTGTTGGATAAATTGATGCTGAGGAAAATAAGTAAGATATTACTAGTATAATTATAAATTAAAGTATTAAGTTTTGTTTAGTTATGAATAATATTTTACTGTTTTTATTAGCTTAGTTAGGATATGTATTTAGATTATATGACCTAGTTCTATATGCACTGAATTTGTTAACTTGTGACTTTCTTTTTGTGTTAGAATTTTTTTTAGAGCATTATAAATTTCTAATGCTATAACTAGCAAGAAAGCCAGTCAATTAATAATGTTATATTTGATAACTATCATCTTTTGTTGGACTCCAATTAATTTTTCTAGTGGATTCTAGGTTTCTTAAGCTTGGATTATATCAAGTAACAATTTCACAAATATTGACTGAGATCAAATAAATTCTATTTTGCATTTTCTTGCCCTACACCATAAAGTTTCATCAAATCCCAATATGATGTATAACTATGGTACTTGACAGTCATAAATCGGATTACTGGCATTGTACTGCATGAAGGTTTCTAGACTTGAATTTTTGAATTAAATAAAAGCTATTTCAAGGTTGCCTCATAATATCTAAAGAGATATAGAAAGAGCTACAACAAACAACGTTCTAGGTATAAATAACCCCGATAAACCCGACAAAAGTGATAATCCAGGTCCATGTTTCCTCCTAAAAAAGGAAGAATCTAGGAACTATTGCTCGAAGCAGGAGAGGTGTAACAGATATTTAAGGAAATGATTTAGGAGATAACTAAAAAGAGGTGTCTATTTGATTGGTGGCTGTCCAGGCATCTTTCTTTTTTAGAAAGAAAAAATGGGGCTGCTTCAAGAATCTTAACGTGGATAACCATTTTGGAAGCCATTTGGGTTTTGGAATCTGGCTAGACATCCAAACGCAATGTTGGTTAGTAGAGGATACAAAATTTACAACCTTGGTTTTATGCTTGTTTGTAAGACTGTTATTTTGCTTGTGGTGTATTACTTACAACCTTGGTGCTTCGTTCTCCTCTTTATACCATTGATTCATAAATAATTTATCATAATGATGCTTATAGCATGAAAATGCTGAAATGCTTTTATAGTGTAACACGAATGATTATAGTGTATTAATTAAGCTTCCCAGCAATTATTTCTATCTTCAACATATTCATGCTTCAAATTGAAGATGCAAGATTAATTATTCCTGGCCCCAGAATTTCCCCTGTGAGAAATTAATAACCATCTTACAGATATTTCAACAATTGTCTGTTTAATTACTTTTTCTTAGCTGAAGGATCTATGAGCATTTTACCCAGGATGGCCAAAAGTAAATCATATCTATGGCAACTGGTAAAGCTAAGCTGAAACTGTGAAACGAAACCGCGCTTATTCTTTTTTTTTTCTCTGTCTATGCAGATGTAGAACTTAATTACTGATATAAATATAACAAGAAATGCTTTAGAAAATGGTAAAAAAAATTGCTTACCGTCTAAAAGTGCTTCGGACACTTCATCTCTTGTTACATTCAATGCCCTCAAAAGTATAGCAATGTTCTGTGACTTCTTTGGATCCAACACTCTGTTTTCCTGCTCAACAGGAGGTAGAACAGATCTTCTTATGGGTTCCTTTGGCACTGAATTGGTGGAATTGCAGCCAAAAAGAGTCTCCATCATGTCCTCATTTAATCTGCAGAGACATGGAAATATGAATCCCAGAATCAGAATCTCTGTATTTCTCAGAGCTTATATATGAAAAGAGCTGTTTCTGGAACAGATTTTTGCTTACTGAAACGAGCTTGATTTGAGCTGGTCCCACACCGTGGCTCGGTCTGACGTTGCCCGTACTTTGTCCCAGTGCAAAGGCTTTAACTTTGGTTTGCCTCCATCTGGGTCGTCTCCTTCAGTCCTCTCCGACGAACTGGGTACTTTCTCAATGTCTTCCACAAGTCTTGTTGGTCTCGAACCCGAACTGCTGCTGCTCTTGGGGCTCGGTGTTTGGGACCGTTGCTTCGGCAACGAATTGACAGCCACTGTAGAAACGTTTGTCTGCCTGTTCACAATTTTCCTATGTGAATATGATAACAGAGCAGGCGGTGGTGGCGGCGGCGGAGGAGGAGGAGGAGGAGGAGCTGGAGTTTTGGTGACTTGTGTGGATATATTGCTGTTGGTAAGCGCCATGTTTGGTGGAGGAGGTGGTGGTGTGAACTTCGGCTTTTTGGGTGAATAAGTAGCTGCTAGTGGGCTCGCCGGTGCATGAGCTGTTGCTCGTGGCAACGGTGGCGGAAGCGGCGGTGTTGATGGTGGTTGCTTGATCGAGGGTATAATAACATGCTTCATTTCCGGCGAGGAAGCTGAAAATCTCTGTTTCGGCGAAGTTCTCTTCGAGTGAGGGACAGAGCTATTGACATGAACACCGTTATTCACGTTAACACACCGCGAAACTGGCGTGTAATAAGTTTCTTCATTGCTGACTGTCGAGCCTTGTGGCGTGTAAAACGCCGTGTCGTGACTCTCCTCGTCGGAGGACGACATTGCAGACGGAGAATTCCCTGTCGGCGGGGGCTTAACCAACGGCGGAAGTGGCTGCAGCTCGGGACTAGGACGGTATCGATCCGATCTCTTGACAGAATTTAGCTTACGATATGGCGACCCGTTGGCTCCAGTACTTTCACCGTTGGGTTCACTGACCGATCTCCTGCCGGGCTCAACAGTCCCAATGTAAAGAAAACTCGATGGCGGAATCCTAGAATCCTCATGGGAGCTACGGGAATTGCCTATGGCTCCTCCGACGAGCTTCTGTGTCTCGCTGGGGTGCTTGACCCTGTGACGATACAAAAAGAATGCTAGCGCAGAGAGCATACCGAGAGTGACGATCCCGACTGAGACGGCAATCGCCACTCTCTTCGCCGGCTTTGCTGGCTGCGTGGCCGCCGGGATAGGTATGCTGCCATTTGCCGGTGCTGCAGGCGGTGACTGGCTCTGATCCGGGTTCTGCCCGGATGGAACCTCTGGGAAAAACGGCTGGTTCGGGTTAGGAAACGCCGAATTGTCCGGCGGCGGAGGAGGAGACGATGACTCTGTGCTAGGTGGCGGGGCAGAACTAGCCGGAAACAACGGCTGATGCAGAATTCTCCTGTGGAATTCAGCACTCCGAACTGTTTCTTTAAGTGGGAGGATAAGAGCACTGCTGCCGGTTCTTGATGTAGGAATGGTGAATGAAACAAAGACAAAAAAGAAGAGATTGAATTGATGATGCGCAGGAGCTTTCATGGTGAATTTTGCAGAGATAATCTTGTGGTATTTTCTTTCACTAAATTCATCTTCTGTGTCTTTTTTTTTTTTTTTTTTTCTTTCTCTCTTCTTCCGTCTCTTTTGGGTTCTTTTGGAAAATGCTCAGTGGAGTTAGAGAGAGAAAGAAAAGAAAAAAGAACGAGAGAGAGAGAGAAAGAAAGAGTGTGAGATGGGAAGCTTCTTTTGGCTGTAAGATCTGGATGCTCCAGTAGCTGACGTTGGCAGTAATAGCCGCTTTTTTTTTTTTGATTTATTTATTTTTATCTAATCTTTAATGTAACTTAATTATAACAATTATTAATTTATTAAATTTAAACTTTCAGAAAAATATAATTTGTAAATGCAAATTTGGTCAACCCGAACACGTAAATAATTAGTTTCAATAAGTGACTTTAATAAGATTAAACTAAATTTTCTAAAAATATATGAATTATTATTTATACATAAATATATTTATGTTTAATAATTTTGGTTGTGTGAAAAATGTTCGTGTCCTTTTTTAGTCAATAAACAATTAATTTTAGCTTTCGTGGAGACCGAGACGTGAGCTGATCTGCTCTCTCTCTTTTTTTTTTTTTTTTTTTTTTTCCCCTTTTTAATTATTTTTTATGACCAAAAAAGTAAACCCATCAAATTTTCCCTTCGGTGCATTGCTCTGAGCCCCTATTTTTTTTTTTTTATTTTCATTGCTCTTCAATCCTCTGCATGCAGGACCACTGATCATACCATGTGGACCAAAAATCACACCGCATTTTTCCATCACCAAAAGACATGATGAGGAATAGACAGAAATACTATTTTGGGTCATGCGTCTCTTTTTATTCGATAATTCACGTCGAAACTTTTCCGCATAATAAGAAAATATCACGCACGTTGAAACTAATCTCGTTGTGATAATAAAACAATAAACCATTTGCATTTTGAGGGAGAGTTTCGAAATTTTTAGGGGGTAAAAAAAAAAAATTTAGATGCCATTAGTGAAATATGTACTCGAAACTTATAAATTCTTCCAATTTGTTTACACGTTAATCAAGTATATAATCCAAATTCGGTAGTTAATTTTTTGTATTTTACTTATAAAATAACTTTATTTTAAATTTTTTTATTGTATATTTTTATACATTGCGTCGATGCCCCGCTAATTTTGCAACGCAATGTGAAAATTAATTTTAGTAAAGTTAGATCCCTCCTTAAAATTATTTATAATTTTAATAACAACTAAAATTAAAATATGGGTTTGATCGTGTTGAAGCACATAGCTACATATTGTAGGTTATAATGAATAACTTTGATTTTATTTTATTTTTTTTAAATGTACTTAAAAAATTTCATCAGTCAATTTTATTACATACAGTAAAAAAGAAAGGGTAAAAATGTAAAATCGTAATAAAGAGGAGATGAGCCAGTTAACGTGCTGTGAGACTAATCTACCACCGACCTTGTCTGTCAGTGAGTGCCTTTGGTCGGCGCACACGCCCATTTTTTCACATCTCCTCTCTTTTTGCCTTTCCCTTTCCCTTCCACATTTCTTAATGAGAGACTCTCACCACCTTACAAAAAGACAATATTATCCTTTTAAAAAAAATATTCAACTTAATTCTTATATTAAAAATAATAATCTAATAACTTAAACTAAATTAGAAAACATTAATCTGCCAGATTAACGCTGCTAAACACCCTAAACGTTTAACACTAATCCCACCACAGTTTCTCTTTCCCAACGTGATACTTTTCTTTCCAAGCCAGATATTCCTCTTGCAGCTTTTATTAATATTATTTCCCAATTCCCAATGCTTTTTTTTTATTATTTTTTATTTTTTACTTTTAAAATATTTTGTTCCTTGTTTAAAATTGAAAGGTTAAAAATTAATATAATTTTAAAATACAAAAAACAAAATATATATATATATATATTTAAAAGTATAAGTAGATGCTTAATTTTGGTGGGAGATTATTTGGGACACAATGAGTGGGGGAAGCAAAGCACCTGGGTTTTCTTGCCAACTGGGTCTCCATTCCACAACCCCAAAACTTAATTATGAAAAGATACTTGTTAAGGTATAATTTATGAACCACATTTATACGTTACCTGCTTTTTTATTTTTTTACTTTTTCTTAAAAAGTATTTATTTATTTATTTATTTATTTTAAATTATTTAATTAAAGGGTATTATTGAAATAAATATTTTTATAAATGTAGATTAATAATCAAATAATTGTTGGTGGAGTGGGATCCACGAACGTTTGCATCAATCACGTAATAAAGTTTTATGGCAAACAAAACATCATGCAATTATATGACTAAAAATTTCTAAAACAAAAAATTTCACCAAAACCTTAATAATAATGATGGAAGATAATTATTGAGATTACTTAAATTAATGCTGTAATTTATTAGTTTAAGTTATTTGTATGAATTAAATAATTAGTACTTTTAAATATTTTATTAAAAATAAATATTTTATAGTTAATTTATATTTACATTTCTAATTTTTTATTTTTTTTCTCAAAATAATTGGGATTATATAGAGAGACAATTTTGAATGTAATTTACTCAGTCTTGGCTTCTACTGCTGGGTAAGTTTGTTTGTTCTAATTTACTTTATTTTGTGTTTCTTATTTGATTAATGCTTAAATTATAATCACTGAATATTTGGAGCATAATCATTATAAAGTACATAATCATCATAATTATTATATTATCATTACATGATTGAAGTTTTCTGTAACTTGAAAAAGATGTTTAAATCAAATTGTTGTTTAGTAATTAGTAATGCCACGATTAGAAAATATGTCATTAGCTTATTATAAATAGATGTATATACACAAACCCACATAAATATTTAAAAATTTATTCATATCGAGGGCATATGATATTTATTTTGTCAAAAACATACTAAATTTATTTAAATATAATTTAATTTATTTATCTTAATTTTATTAATATATTAATAAATTAAATTTTAAATTTTATTAAATAAA